ATTGAAATTTGGAAGTACACCTATTTGTCTCTTTAGAATAGGTTGTCTGGAGTATATGCCCCAAAGCTCCGCAGCACGCATCTCTTGCAGAAAAGAATAGCCAAAATAGATATACATGTCTATCTTCAGATTTAATTGCAGGGTCCAATGGAATAAAACTAGTGTTTTAACTAGAGAAAGTTCAATATTGCAAACTGAAGCATCCTGAACTGCAAAGAAATAACCAAACATGAGATATCCTAATGAACTAACTAGCTGAGGCTCTAAAGTTCAGTTCGTCTCAAGCTTTCTTTGAAATGAGATCCTCAATCAGGTCTGCAGCATCTTGAACTGTTGCAATACTCTGAGCACTGTCTTCTTCCACCGAAATACCAAACTCTTCCTCAAGCCCCATGACTATCTCCACCTGAATAAGAGATTCAACAAAAACAACATAATCAAATCAGTAATAACGAATGTGTTCCTGAGAAGAAGTTTATTATTTCGAGATGCCTCAAAGAAAATGCAATTGAGGCTTTGGGATAATCCCTTTGTTTGAGAACTTGAGGAACGGTTTTTACATGTGGCTCTACTTGTCTCCTAGACACAGTGTGTTAAACCATATCATCTGGAGGCACAAGCATATAAATCTAGCACCTAGCAGCAGAATTGGTGGTTCTCACTTAAGAACCTAACAAAAATCCTCTGTAATCAATCTGAACCTGTAGATAACATACAGGGTGACAAAAGTGCTATATTAGACAAACTGGCAACAACTAAGAAATGTAAGTAACTTGGCTGAAATCCATACTGAAATATGTTAATTGTTCTAACCATTTTTGCAGAAAGGACTGAGACACAACAATGCAAGTGCAACATTTAGCCTTAGTGCCAAACAACATACCGTATCAAGAGAATCAGCACCAAGTGCAGCAAACTTTGACTCTCCACTGACTTCAGTTTCAGCAGAAAGAGCCAGTTGTTTCTTCACAATTTCACACACCTTGTTGACTGTCTCTGGCTTAGCCTGCAGAGGTACAACTCTCATTATTGTTAATAAATTTCATATGAAAAAAAAAACATGCTATGGTCTGAATTACTGATCACGAAATTCCACATCACAGATAGAACAGGGAAATGAGAAAAACAAGATAATTTTAGGGTAAAGAGGTTAATCACATGAACAGTCACAACAACTATAGTGTCAGTACTGATGGAAATAGCTTGGTTTAAGAGACGTGAACATAAATGTGCACAAACGCTTTAGATCAGCGAAGTCAGAAGTAGAGCAAGTTAATATGCAGAATTCCTGCTTTTTTCTTGGGCAATGGATTAGTCAATTACGCTTAATTACCCTGAGAGATTTGAAATATTACAAAAAAGTCTTGATACATTTTTTGTTACAAAGCCTTTCTTCCCTTCATCGCTAGAAGAATACCCCCTTTTTGGCAGCAAGCAATATCATTCTCTCAATTTTACATTTGCTCCTTGTATTGCTTTCCCTGGGTTTCTGTTCGAAATTTAGTAGAGTACCAATGGGAAAGTGGGCGAATGGCAAAAAGGTCGCAAATGGGGAGGGTGGTTGCACGTATGGGGATGGTCAATTTTCTTACCTTCTTGAAGGAAAGTATCTGTCCATAAAAATTTTAGAAATGAAATTATTTAAAAAGGCCAATTAATTCCTGAATGAAATATGGTTTGTCACAACAAACTCAGAATAGAGGAGCTTGAGTGAGCAACAACATCAGGAAAGATCTCTATAGTTTCACCTTTTTTTGTGCCTTTATTAGTAGAAGAGTTAGAAATCCACAAGCAAAACAAAGTCCCAGCTAAGATAAGATACTACCAGGAATAAGGAAATCTTCCATCATAAGATATTATCACTTTATTTTAATTCATTTTAGTCTATAGATTGATAATTGCTATTCACTGTTGAATTAGTGTCTCCATAAATCAACTTAAGATAACTTAACACCAAATTCCCATACTAAACGCTCTAATCATCGATGCTCAAAATAAAATCCGGCATCAGTTTTGCTAGCAACGAAACAGGCCATATTGCAATGAGTCCCAACAATCATGGTTAGAGGTAAAGTAAAAACATAGAAAAACAAGTAAAGAGAGCAAAACACCAGTTCCAAAACAATACCGCGCAAGTAATAGTGGGGCGGCGAGTGGCTGGATTCAATCTGATGGAAGAGAAGCTTATCCCCTTGAATGAAAGAGAAGACATCTTCAAATTAGAGACTCGGTTAAGTGCCTGCGTTAACAAGAGCATAAAATGTATAGTTATTTCAATGACACACACAACTGTGGGGAGTGGGCAGCTGTTTCTCAACTTCTTCTTGAAGCTGCATAAAATGTTACTCCTAATATTTCTATAGAAAAGGTGAAACATTTACCTAAAAAATACCAAGAAGTATACATTTTTCCTTGTGTTTCATTGATTACTTACCCTAATAAAATTACACGAGAAATTTTGTTTCTAATCCTTTGATCAATCATAGAATTAAATCATGAGAGAAATAATAGGACAAGAAACTTTAAAACACACAAAAATAAAAGAAAAATGAAAATATATTCTAGAGTTTAATATACAATTAAAAAGGAATTAGAGGGTGTCTGGCTAAGCTTATAAGCTGGTCTAACTAGCTTATAAGCATTTTTCGGCTTATCTATGCGTTTGGTAAAGTTAAAAGTGTTTATAAGCCACGTGCTTATAAGTCAAAAATAAGCCGAAAGCCATAAGCTGGTCACCCCCAGCTTATGAATTTTTAGCTTATAAGCACTTTAAGTTTGACCAAGATTTTTACTATTTTATCCTTAAAATATTCTTTTTTAGAAAAAAACTCTTACATCAATACTCACGGCCTCAAGTATTGTTTCAACCTAAACCCCCACCTCTTCAAGTCTTGAATTCTCATTGACTATTTAAGAGAAGCAAATTCTCTATTCCATTGCATATTTGTATCTATGTGGTTGTGTATTAATCTTTGAAATGTATGTAATAAAGGAGGACATATCAAAATTTTTGGTGTATTGCTTTCTAAGTGTTGTGGTGATGAAGACGTGTTTGTTTCTCTTCAAATATTTTGTCCTATTTAGGTTTATTTTTTACTGAAAAACTTTTGTCAATTTATTAATTATTATAATTTATAATTATATGCTCATCATAAAACAAATTATATTTATTATAAAAATTATTTTATCTAAGCACAGTTGTGTTTAAAATAAAATGACATATAGAGTATTTTGTATTTGAATCGATCTGGAATCTAAAATTTTGAAAAAAATTATGCCCGTATAAACATTTATAAGGTTATTTATGTCATTTTAACAGAAACACAATTTATCAACACTTTTTTATCAAATAATGCAACAGCTTATTATCAATTTCAGCGCTTGTATCCAAACATGTAACTGCTTATTTATTAAATCAGTTTCAGAACTTAAAAGTGTTTTTCAGCCCCTAATGTTTACCAGTTACTTCAAATCAGTTAATCCAAACGGGTTCTAAGAAAGCTGTAAAATCAACATTTTTAAAACGCAATCACATTCCAATAAACTCCATTCCAAAAATTGAATGTCAGATGGACACAAAAAAAACATTCCGAAAACAAAATCTAGAAAATCATTGCAACAAAAGAAGAGAAGGAGAAACTGATCGGAAGTGAAGATCAAAGTGATAAACCTGATTTTGCTTCAAGGAGCATGACATGGTAACAGATGAACCTGTAATAGAAGCCATTTGATGGACGGAAAGAAAGAGAGAACAAGAGAAAAATAGAGAATGGATCTGGAGAAAGTGGCGGAGAGCACGAAGAGTGTGCCTGATAGTGAGTGAGAACGAAGAGGAATAGTAACAGTGCGGAGAAGAGTTGTCCCTTCTTATAGGCTTTTTTTTGGGTTGGGTTTTACTTGATTGTTGCTGCATAGATCCTAAAGTGAAGTAGTTACTTGATTGGCTTTTTTTCTTTTTTTTCTTTTTTTTGCGATAATGCCATTGTCAATTCTCTGAAAATGTTTTTCGCACAAATATTTTTTAAAATTCCTTTCTAATAAAATTATGTTCAGATAATTAGGTCTAAAATTACAATACTTTTTTTATTCTAAAGAAAAAGATTTTACTTTTTTTTGGGTCAAACAAACGGTTTCAATTTAAAGAATGTTTTTAATCAGTCCGGTGGTGAATCACAGGTTTACTGTTCCGTGAGTTTTGATATATTTACTTAATTTATTTATGCTTATTTTTTATATATATTTATAAAACTTAACTTGAAATCACAGATTCTGTCCAACACACAAAAGCCGTATTTAAATCGAAATTCTAATTACTCATACCTATGGGCAGGCCCTTCCTCATTAAAATAAACTTGACTCTCCCTAGAGATAGATTGTGTACACTTGGGTAGAGGAGAAAAATAAGCTTAAGTTTGTCCCCGCAATATCATAAATGGAATTATGTTGTAAGCAACATTGCTAACATACTCAGACTCAAGCCATGGAACAGTTCCATATCAGCATATGTGATGGGCGGTAGACCCTATTTCACACCTTGAATTGAAATTCTTTTTCGGGAATACACTTGTCCCTTATTAGTTGTATAAAAATTTTGAAATGTTTTTATGTAATGGATTAGCTCCCGTTACTCCAACATTGCCTTAAAAGTTTGGATTGAGTACTTACATTCTTTCGCATGATATCAATGCCAAACTTTGGTGATTCTTATGTCATATTTATATTTTTTTTCTCTTCATGTTCAATTGCTATTGTCTTTTCCCTCTATCAGCCCACCCATAAAGTTGTTCTGAGCTCGCTCTCTTTCTCTCAATCAAAATTCGATCAACTGAGTCACTAACGTTGCATCAGATACTAACATGTCAATCCTGATTTATCTACTCAAGGCCCACTCCTCTTGAGCCTCCCCTCTCTACTTAAATAACGAAAAGGTCTTTTAAAAAAAAGTAGGTCCATGTGTAACCCCTTGATCGGATTACACTGTGGGATGATATCGGAGAATATCTCATCGGTTATATAATGATTTTCAAAAAAGTTTATAATGTCCTAGATCCCTTCACCCATTGCCTTAAAATTTAAGGTTGGATGCTTGGATGCTCTCAAAGTTTTAACCAAAGAGAAACATCCAAAGCTAATTAACCGAAACGGAAGGAGTTCAAACCAAAAATTGTTTCTTGTCCTCACAAGGATGAATGGACTTTCTAGCTTTCCATCAATGCCATTGTTGGTTCACTTCCTTCGGTGGGTGATCCAGGAACATAAGGTACAAAACCTCGTCCCCCGAAAACAGGACGCATGAATGCATTGTCGAATTTTCTCCAGTAATAGTGCACTGTGTAAGAAGGGGTACTTAGGAACATCCGCAAACTGTTGGGACGGGGAAAATTGTGGGCTCCCAAATCAGCTTCCGAGTCTTGTCCATTGCCTAAAAGCGGCACATTAATGAAAGATTTTGGAGTCCCTGGTGAGGGTAGCAATAGCCTAATCAGTGGTTTTGTCATCAAACCAAATACCTGCAAAGGCCAGAAAGTTTTTAAAAAATGATGATTAAGCTTCATATAAAAGTCCTCCAAAATGTCTCCTGCTTGTCCTTTGTTTTCCTCTAAGATGAAATTACAGAAGACGTAATCACAACTCACAAGAAAGCTAAGATTTCTTACCACTGTGCTGAATAGGACAACTGTGATAGTACTTGTGATCATTATTGCATTGCCACGCAACTGAGTATGACCTTCTTTAGTAAACTGAAATCATGAAAAAATAGTCAGTCGGATAAATTTCTTGAATTACTATATACAATGTAGAAAACAAACCTGTGCATTAGGTAATAAACTATAAATCAAAAAAAACAATCTACCTGATTATAAGCAAGGGCCATAGAAACGGCACCTCGCATAAGGCCAGCCCACCATATTGTGACCTGCAAAATCAGTGAAGGGATAACATGAGAAGCCAAACAATTATGAGATTGTAAGCGCATAATATAATGTTATTAATGTTATTAGTGCAAAGTTCTTCGTTTCATTTTATATGGTGGTGTTTGATCGAGTAGGGAGTTTAAGAATAAAAGAAAAACTTTTGACACATCTTTACAAAATTGTGGTGTTAAACATGCTACGATATTTTTATAACTATAAGAGCACGTAATTAAAGGTAAAATAAAAAGTTAATATTTAAAGAGTTTCAAGAATATAGAAAAGTGATAGTATTATTTTCGAAACTGACTAAAAAGGAAGAGTGTCATATAAATGATAAAGCAACACCTAGGGAGTATTATTAGGACATATATACCTGCTGCTTGAAGTCAGTCTTCTCATGTGGAGACTTCTTGGTCAAGTTGGACAGAAATGATAAGGGGAAAACAAAGGCTGCCCTTCCAACCAAGACAAGTCCCAATAGTATTGAGCTAACCTCAACTGATATTCCAGGGCTGGTGAACCAAAAACCAAAAGATGTGCACAATCTTTCTATCAACCACTCACATGAGATCAACAGAGTTGTGCGGTAAAAAATGGACTTCAATAGATGTCAGAATTTACCTGTCGCTAACAAATCTCCACTTTTCAATGTCCAAAGCATCCATACCAACATAGAGGAATATGAAAATTTCAGCAATAAACGATAGCGTAGCAAAGGTGTGCCTAAACAATAGTTGAAGAGAGAGTACATCAAGAAGCATTGATCATGTATAGTCAATATGGTTTCAAAATTCTCTGTATGCATGTCATACTTGGTGGTGCATCTTGAGTTCTCAGTCACGTTATACCAGGTGTAGTGGGACATCACAATCCCGCAAAAGAACACTGTGAGAATTGCACTTAAACTGAACAACTGCAATCAAATAGTCATTGTCATTGCAAGCATCAAAATGATTCAATGTTGTGAGAGAATGCGAAAAAGTAGCTCTACTCTTAAGCTGGAACTACTTACTTCAGCAAGCATGTAAGATAGGTACGCCATGAGTATCATTATAGAAACTTCACGATCTGTGGAGTGCCTGGAGTTCATAAGAAAGCAAGTCATCAACTCCCAACGACGACGACAACAACAACAACAACAACAACTACCCAGTATAATCTCACTAGTAGGGTATGGGGAGGGTAGAGTGTATGCAGACCTTACCCCTACCTTCAAGAAGGCAGAGAGGCTGTTTCCGGTAGACCCTCGGCTCGTAAAAGATAAAATAAGGACAACAACTAGCATATCAATCGGAAAACCAGAGCAAAAATACAAACTAACAGTAAGTACTGTAATCAGAAAGCCGAAACGAAAGCGACAACAAGTAATAACAGAAGTCAAGGGATACGACAATACACAGACAGGACAACACTCGGCTACATATCCTTAACCTTTAGCTTTATTCTCAACCTCCATACATTCTTATCCATGGTCATGTCCTCAGTAAGCTGGAGCAACGCCATATACTGCCTAATCACCTATCCTCAATACTTCTTCGGCCTGCCTTTACCTCTCCTCATACCCTCTAGGGCCAACCTCTCGCACCTCCTCGCTGGAGTATCTGTGTCTCTCCTTATCACATGCCCGAACCATCTAAGTCTTGCCTCCAACGTCTTGTCCTCCACAGGTGTCACGCCCACCTTGTCCCGAATAACTTCATTTCTAATTCTATCTAACCTGGTATGCCCGCACATCCATCTTAACATCCTCATTTCAGCTATCTTCATCTTATGGATATGGGAGTTCTTGGCTGGCCAACACTTCGTCCCATACAATATAGCCGGTCTGACCACCGCTCTATAGAACTTACATTTAAGTTTTGGTAGCACATTCTTATCACACAAAATACCATAAGCGAGCTTCTATTTCATCCACCCCGCCCCAATACGATGTGTAACATCCTCGTCGATCTCCCCATTCCCTTGAATAACTGACCGAAGGTATTTAAAACCTTATCTCCTAGGGATGACTTAAGAATCAAGCCTCACGTCTTCATCCACTAACTGAGTCGCACCAGTGAATTTGCACTCCAAGTATTCCATCTTAGTCCTGCTCAACTTGAAACCTTTAGATTCTAGGGTCTGCCTCCAAACTTCTAACCTCTCGTTAACACTGCCTCACGTCTACTCAATCAGTACAATATCATCTGCAAATAACATGCACCACGGTCCTCCTCTTGAATGTGGCGCGTCAGAGCGTCGATCGCCAAGGCAAATAGAAATGGGCTGAGGGCTCTGGTGCAACCCCGTCATAACTGGGAAGTGTTCCGAGTCCCCTCCCATGGTCCTCACTCAAGTCTTAGCTCCATCATACATGTCCTTAATAGCCCTAATATATGCAACAGGAATACCTCTAGCCTCCAAACATCTCCACAGAACCTCCCTCTGTACTTTATCGTAAGCCGTCTCTAAGTCGATGAACACTATATGTAAATCCCTCTTCCTCTCCCTATACTGCTCGATCAACCTCCTAACAAGATGGATAGCTTTCGTAGTCGAACGTTCCGGCATAAATCCGAACTGCTTTTTAGAAATAGTCACGATCCTCCTCAACCTCAGCTCCACCACTCTTTCCCAGACTTTCATAATATGGCTTAGTAACTTGATGCACTGGTAGTTGTTGCAACTTTGGATATCACCCTTGTTCTTATATAGCGAGACCATCGTACTCCATCTCCATTCTTCGGGTCTTTTTCGTCCTAAAAATGATATTAAATAACTATGTGAGCCACTCCAAGCCCGCCCTACCCACGCTCTTCTAAAATACCACCGGGATCTCGTTTGGACTTGTTGCTCTTCCCCTGCTCATCCTACGCATAGTCTCCTCAACCTACTCGACTCTTATGCGCCTACAATACCCAAAGTCTTGACGACTCTCCGAGTGCTCTAAGTCACCTAGCTCAATGTTCCTATCTCCCTCTTTGTTCAAGAGTTTATGAAAGTAAGTATGCCATCTTCGGCGAATAAGTGCCTCATCCAACAAAACTCTGCCTTCCTCATTCTTGATGAACTTCACTTGGTCTACGTCACGGGCCTTCCTTTCTCGCACCTTGGCTAGCCTGTACAACTTCTTATCTCATCCTTTGCCTCCAAGTTCTTCGTACAAGTGTTCAAACGCAGTAGTCTTGGCCGCTGCGACCCCTCTAAGTCATCAACTCCCAATATGCAAATTCTCAAGCATTTTCGAGACTCAATTATATAGTTGCAATTCCATACTGAAGAATGGATAAGAGGAATGTTTAGTGTTCGAAGAATTATTTACTAACCTTCCAAAGCAGAGCTTCTTAATAATATAGGCACTCAATAGACCTGCCTGCAGGAGGGGAAGAATTAAATGTTACTTGCTGCATTAATAACCAAAGTCGCGTGCATTTAAATGACAAGGAGAGAAACAGAAACTCACAACAAACCCCAGGAAGGTGCTTGAGATAAATAAGTATAGAAAGTTTCCAAGTAATTGCAGGGCAATGCTAGTGTTGATATGAGACAAGTCAAAGTTCTGGACAGCATTGAATAAAACTACAGATGTAGCATCATTTAAAACACCTTCCCCAAAGACTAAACTGTACAATAACGGCGTTTCATCCTGATTAAGCACCTACGTTATGCAATGGATAATGTCAGTAAGGTAAGTGCCTGCTACTCTGACCACAGTCTATAGTGTTCAAAGCTATACTCACTTGTAAGGTGCAAACAGAATCTGTTGCAGAGAAGATTGCTCCAATTGCTGGAAATAACCAAGGATGGATAGAAATTATCGAACACATTTTTAGTATTTTTATGTACATAAATAAGTGATTAGCAGGAATAGCTCGAAGTACCAAGGTAATCTCCAATTTCAAGTTTCCCAATATTAATTTTCCTGAAAATTCCAATAGCACCTGACATGAAAATAGATGTCATCAATAATGGCACTATAAAGAGCAAAAGAAAAGTGTCAGCAACTCCTTAAGAAAGGAAATAGAAATGGAAAACGATTATGTACAGTGCGCACCTAATGATATGATAACAAAAGATATCAGGGTACCTAGTGCCCCAAAAAGTATGATAGTCATGAAATTGCGGAAGAATTGCTTCTTTTTCACCTGGAACCTGAGGAGAATAGATTAATTAGGCGGAGAAAATATTAAGCTCACAACAATTCTACTGGACAAAATAAAGAACTGATTAAATGAAACAACTAGCGGATGCGCTACCAACATTATATTGCCATTTACTGAGTAAATGAGTTTAGAGAACATGAGAAGGTTTGGCACTGTAATAAAAGAGAAATATTAATTACAATTAAGTAGAAACTAGGATTTCCTAAATTGACGATCCCAATGAACCAAAACCATAGAAACTCGGACAAGCACAAAAACAAAAAACAAAATACAAAGCTTTCAATTAAATTAACTCAAACTTTTAGTTGACACATGTGACATATATATATAGACCCTCTTTCCAATTCAAATATATAAACTTCTCATTTCAATTTTTTGTAGATTTCTTCAATATCTTTTTATTTATTTCTCTTGTAGCCTTAAAAATATCATGTTTAAGATCGAAATTCTAAAACTACTATTTGTATGTGCCAAAAAACATTTCTTTCCTTCCTAAACCTCGTGTCTCATCAGCGGACCCATGATTTTAACCCAATGGGAGCATAATATTCTACTCAACCAGTGCCCATAAAGGTTTTTTAGCGTTCAGGGTGTCAAGTGATTTAAATTAACTATTTTTAAGGTATACACATATACATATACTACAAGATTTCTGCCGAAATGTCCCCATCAACATAACACATAGGTCCGCCTGTGTAGTCAAATACAGTAAAGGATGGAGTGTTTGAAATGCAAAAACGTACCCGGCATTAAAAATGATTGGTGGAAGAAGATAAATAAAGAAAAGATCTGCGCTGAACATGAAAACATGCGAACTCTTCCCTCCACTTATTAGTAGAATCAAAGCTCCCGTGCACAAGCCCTGTGATCCATAACAAGCACAAACAGTGCCATAGACAGGTAAAGCTCATATCAGTTTCATCTTAAGCACAAAAAAGCAGTCAAACAACGATATGATGATCAGCAATTAATGAAACTCACAATCAAAAGAGCAGTTATCGACTCATTCATCCAGCGGTTCTCCTCCAATAGATGACCAATCACGATACACGCGCAGATAAGTGCAATAAATAAGTTTATTGACACCACGGACGCGTGATCTGAGGTCCATAGCATCTTCATCTTTTCCAGCAGCGCCCCGATGTCAAACGCCGCCATTGAATTCGCCAAATACTTCAAAATCATTAAAAAGTTTTTATCATTTCAGCAATTAATTAACTCAACTTCCTATCTTGGAAATGACATACCCGACACTCAGAATCCAATATAAAATTCAATCACACGAAGTATACCGGATATAGAAGGACAATTGAATGAGATGTAAGCAATTATAGAAGGACAATTAAACAATGTACCAATCAAAACAGCAGTAATGAGCAGAGATACAGAAATGTTTCCGCTCAGAAAAAGAGTTGCTACTTCAGACACCAATAGCAATTCACAGATTCAGAGACAAAAACTCTTTGAAATTCAAGTTACAAAATCAAGGAATTCAAGCTCTCAAAAATAGATTTTTCTTCGTAACATCAGTTCCAAATTGGAGACATGTTGAAGAAAATTCGAAAATGATAATGAAAAAGAATAATTAGGATTAGGAAGGACAGGGCCGAGCCAGGAAGGACAGGAATTGAAAGGGAATATATGTTTGGGTGGGATTAAGGAAACACAGTTGAGTTTTAAATTTCGTAAGGGCGATCATGACCGTTGATGGATCCAAGCAGGTGATGAGTTGGCACTTCTCCATACGATTTGACGGTATCTAAGGAAGTAGTTCTGGCTAACTCTGTGACAGCAGTCGCGGCAAATATAAGATAAATATATGCACACAAAGAAAAACCCGCCAAAAAATTAACGGATTTGTTTCTATATTATTTTTATGTGTCGAATGTATTTAATACTTTTGCAATTCATATTAAGTAAGTTACGACTATAATCTAAAAAGTTATTCTTACAATTTGTTGTTTTGATATAAAACCTATGACTAATATTTTCGGCTAACTCTAAGACACCAATCGCGCCAAAATGTAGTATACATGCACAATAAATCAAGTCGAAAGAGGAACCCGCCAAAAACTAACGGATTTATTTCTATATTTTTCTCTTGTCTTGAATGTGTTTGATACTTCTGCAATTCATATGAAGTAAGTTATGACTGTAATCTAAAAAGTTATTCTTACAATTTGTTGTTTTGATATAAAACTTAGGACTAATAGTTCCGGCTAACTCTATGAGAACAATAGCGACAAATGTAAAATATACGTACAACAAATCAAGTTGAAAAAGGAACCCGCCAAAAACTAATGGTTTATTTATATATTTTTCTCTTGTCTTGAATGTGCTTGATATTTTTGCAATATATATCAAGTAAGTTAGACTATACTTTAAAAAGTTATTTTTACAATTTATTGTTTTGATATAAAATCAGGACTAATAGTTCCGGCTAACTTTGTGACAACAATTGCGACACATGTAGGATATATACACAATAAATCAAGTCGAAAGAGGAATCCGCCAAAAACTAACGGATTTATTTCTATATTTTTCTCAATGTGCTTGATATTTTTGCAATATATATCAAGTAAGTTAGACTATACTTTAAAAATTTATTCTTACAATTTATTGTTTTGATAGTTCCGGCTAACTTTGTGACAACAATTGCGACAGATGTAGGATATATACACAATAAATCAAGTCGAAAGAGGAATCCGCCAAAAACTAACTAATTTATTTCTATATTTTTCTCTTGTCTTGAATGTGCTTGATATTTTTACAATTCATATTAAGTAAGTTAAGATTATAATCTAAAAAGCTATTCTTACAATTTTGTTGTTTTGATTTAAAACTAAGGACTAAATATTTTTCATGCATCTTATTAATTAGGAACATTTGTTAAAGCTAGAGAGCTATTTAGTTAGGCTTTTTTTTTAAAGTGAAAATGGAGGAAAAGGAGGGTCCACCATCCGATGATTATGTCCCTGTTTTGTAATATTTGAAAGTAAATGTGTACTTATTAAATGGAAGTTTCGCCTTTTGTCTTCCATTAGTTATTGCACCTTACTAGACACGACTTATGAAGACGGCTTCTAAGACCACATACCACTTAGGTGAGATATAAAGAATATTCTTGTTAGATGTCTGTAACTGATTTGGATTTGAAACTTACCTTCTTGTTAATTCATTCAAAAGAAAGAAAAAAAGTATAAGAAAAAGAAACCAAAGGATTCCATTATAATATGATGACAATGTCTAGTTTAACATAATATTTTTCACCATCAAGTTGCCTTTTTTTCCTATTGTAACATGTAATATATTTTATTTTCAAGATTATAAAATGCATATTCTATAAATGGTGATCTAAAACGAAAAAGGATAAAAAAAAAAAAATAAATAAGTATCTCTTTAATATGAGAAATAGACCAAATTTGTCCTTATTTTGAACTTGTCCTTCTCATTAGCTGCCAATGTCATTCATTTTTTGTCAACATTCTATAAAATTTAAAGGCTTTACTTTTTTGTTTCTAAAGAATGTTTACGTTTCTAGTTGAGCTAGTTTATTGTAAATTATATGCATATTATTCTTCTCCTCTATATATATTTCAATCTTTTTTTGGTAAATACCATATCAAACGACACACTTAATACAGTTTATCTTCACCACTACAATTGTTTGTTTTGGATGTTAGTTGAAATTTCTTTTTTAATAAAAAGGAAGAACTAAAGAATATGGAGCGAGGAGAGGACAGAAAAAACTGAAATTGGTGGAGAAAAACAAAGATGGATTGTAATAGCCATGGGAGAGATAGAAAGAGAGAGAGGTCCAATGTCCTGCTCTTACTAAAGGAGGAAGGATAGAGGAGATGAGACAAAAAAGGAAAAGAGCGTAATGAAATTCTTTAGTTGAAGCCACTAATGGGTTAAAAGTCTTTTAACGGAAAATATATATAACCTATAAAGAAGGAATTTTTACTTTCCTATATTATATATGAAACTTTATTATCCTTCCTAATTAAGTTTTAACTTAATTACATGGGCATAAACAATTTACCAATTATATACAAATTAGTTTTAAATGAGTATCCTTTTATATTAGGAATTGATTAGGAAATCCTCATCCATGCACTCTCTTTCTCTCCGCCTCTCTTTCTCTCTCTTCGTCTCTCTCTCTCTCTCTTTCTCTGTTATTTTTTCAATTTTCTTCCTTCGTTTTCCTCTGCTTTTCATCCTTTTTTTATCCAGAAAATTCATCAATGAATTTTAATTGTTATAATATAGAGTTTTAACTTAGCAATTATCTTTCATGTTGCACAATTGGTGTTCGAATTGAATTATTAATCAATAAATTTTGAAGGTATTTGATTCTCCACCATTGACAGCCATTAAAAAGCTCCAGATCTTTGAATTTCAATTCGGGTTTTCAAAAACTATTGTTTGTTTGGATTGGGTGTTGTTAAAAATAATTAAAAATATTCTTTGGAGTTTATATCTCAATTTTGAGGGTGTTTGGTGAAGAATAGACTTGATTTTGGCTGAATTTACATGACATACAATATACTTGCAAAATTGTATTATAGTTGTATGTAAATTGTATTTAAATTGTATTATATTATAGTTATATATTTTTTATTTGAATATTGTATGAAAGTTAAAAAATAGTTGTATAATGTATGAATCATTGTATGAAATTTGTATTTAAGTTATAAATACTAATTTTTTTTACATAAAGTTGTTGACATGTATCAAAATTGTATTAAGAAAGGAATTTTTGATTGAAATTTCCGAGAGGAAAAAGAACACACCACATACAAAATATATACAAATCATATACAAAAGACATATTGTATAAAATTTGTATGAAAATTATATTTAAGTTGTATGATGTTATAGTTGTATTTAGTCGGGTAAAAATGATGTATGAAAGTTGTAGATAAGTTATAAAAAAGTTATATACTATATAATTAGTCATATAAAATCTGTTTTTAGTTTATATATTGTTATAGATGTATCAAATTTGTATCAAAATTAAATATTCCGGCATTCAACTTGTCTGGTTTAGGTTCCAAATAAAGCCATCGGTAGCTCATTGAAAAATTCTTGTATAGTTTCGAAGGCATATATTCCCTCCAAATACAAATACATAGACGATAATCGCAATGATTACTGTGGGTGAAAATCATTGCGATCATGAGTTATGATCACACCCTTGCATTAATTCATGGGAATAGTTTAGGATACAAGAATATTTTTGAGCATTTAAAACAAATACTTTCGACTTTTTCTATATTTCAGAAAAAGCCAAACCTTATTTGTGATTCGTTCCTTTCATTATCGTCCATATATAGAGGAAGTGATTCCTTCAATAATACTTTCATCCTTTTCATTTTACATAAATACTACAGTTAAGGCACTATGGGAAAGAGAAGAGGAGAGAAAAAAGAAAAAGGGTGTAACTGAATTCCTTAATTTAAGGCACTAATAATGAATTATATATGGAGAGAGGTGGTAGAGAATAGGTAAAGAGGAGATGAGAGAAAAAAGAAAAAAAGTGTAACTAAATCCCCTAATTTAAGGCACTAATAATGGATTGTATATAATTTGTAAGTAATTCTTGTTTATGGCGGGTAATATACAAAACTAAGACAATTTTGGTAAATAAGTTTCAAATACTGTATAGGAAGGAAAAAATCCTTATAAAAAAAACAAGTTTATTTTGATAAATATTAAGACTTTGTTATAAAACAATAAAAAAAAAAAGTATTGCATTGAAAAGTAGAGAAGGAGAATTCTTATTAATTTCGGATGAATTACAATGGAATAGAACCTATCTATTTATAGGAAAAAGTGACTTAGTCACAAAGTAACAAACTCTAAAATCTCTCTAAAAGATAGACAATCGCCATAAATAAAATACTATTTAAAACGCTCCCCCTTAAATGTCTATTCAACAGATAATATGCCTCGTTAAAACCTTAACTAAAATAAAATCCAGTGAAAAAATTTTTAGTGAAGGAAAAAGAGTACACATGTTTAATAATTTGTCTTTTGGTTGCCTCGTTAAAAATCTTGTGAGAAAAACACAGTGGGACAAAACCTTATTAGGAAAAAAGAATACAACGCGTATTAACTCCCCCTAATGAGAGCATCAATTTACATCTTTAAGTGTTCGCATCCCAATCTTGTACACTAGCTTCTTGAAGGTTGACGCCGGTAGAGATTTGGTGAAGAAATCAGTCATATTATCATTTGAACGAATATGTTTCACCTTGAAATCATCATTCTTGATAGATATGTAATGCCTTCATATAATGTCGTGGAATGGACTTTTCAATATCTCCATAGAGATAAAAATTCCCGTTATCACATTATCATGCTTATAGTTATAACAAGATACATATGTGCACAAATTGCACTTAGGATGTGGTACTTCAGGACCAAGAATTGTATATGCTTTAAGCGATTCAAATCCTTTAGGGATTAAGTCATATAAGCCGTATAAATAGACTTTAGATGCATATCAAGTTTTCATGTCATGCTAGACATATAAGATAGATAAAAGTGATTGCACACACCATTGACTTTATACTTTCAAGTGTTTGAACTGCAGGTCCAAAATTATATGTCTTTCATATGAAACTAATTTTACTTGAATTGTTTATCGAGACTTAAGATCCTCATATATACTTAGCGTTATCATATATGTAGTCGACGAATATTTTATATCGGTACCAACCTCCTTTTTTTCATAAAGACATAACATAGAGATCTTTTCATTCATATTTTCAGGTACTTGAACATATCCTGAGATTTTATCAAGAATTTTATT